CACACACACACACACACACACACACACACACACACACACACACACACACACACTAACAACGGTTATAGCGGTCCAGGATTTTCGCTCGAAAACATCGGCGAACGTTTCACTTTGAATGTTGCTACGCATACTTAACCAAAGCACATATAAATGAAGCGTGTGGGCTATTTATGTGCGCGCGCCTACAGAAAGAAATGCAGCGCTAGATTGCTAAAAGTAAGAAGGCAGCTCACCTGCGTCTGAAGTGGCAACATGCTCTGCTGATTGTAGCTTCCAGTTCCACTGGTCGGCGCGGGACTTTGCTGCGGGAGGAACGATATTCCGCTTCCATTGTTCGCAATGGGAGATGTCTGCCGAACGGGTGAACGGTGCGGCGACGTCCCATGCCGCTCCCCGTACGGCGAGGGGTAACGCACGGGGGAGCTGTGAGCCGACTGGTGCCGCACGGGGGAGCTGTGAGCCGACTGGTGACGCACGGGGGAGTTGTGAGCTGTGAGCCGACTGGTGACGCACGGCGGAGTCTTGTGAGTCGACTGGTGCCGGCACGGGGCAGGCTGTGAGCCGACTGGTGACGGCACGGGGAGTTGCTGAGCCGACTGGTGCCGCACGGGGCGAGCTGTGGCGCGACGCTGGGTGCGCACGGGGAGCTGTGAGCGCCAGAACTGATGACGGCACCGGACGAAGCAATGCGGGAGCGCAGACGATGGCCGCTGCTCTTCTCAGACGATAGCGCCCTCGACGGCGAGAGCGCAGAAGGCCTATGCACGCGGCGATGTCGAGTAGAATACCTGGTGTGGTGGAGCCAAGGCCCGCGTAGCAAGGGCGAGCCCTGCGGCTGACGGCTGCTCTGACAGGGCATTGGATGATACGGCGAGGGGCCGGTGGCGGACCGCTGACCTGCTTGCGTGCGCGCGGCGTCACTGACGACCGCAGGCGAGCGACGAGGCCCTGCTGCAAGCGAATGCTGGCGATTGAAAAAAAGGTAGTCATTGACTACCGGAGTGCAATCCGTCCATGCGGCGCGCGGCCTACAACACATACGCCGCGCGACGATAAACACACGGCAATTTACTCCAGACGATAGCGTTTGCAAAGAGCCAGTCGTGAGGCGTGTGGCCGACGCTAGCCGCCATCACAGCCGACTGGCGCTCTCATGCAGCTCGCGTGGGCCAGCTGGCGACTAATACAACAGGCGGGTGACGATTAAGCTAGGCACTAACTGAGAGGGTTGTGCTCGGTTCTCAACTGCGGGCGGGACTAGGAGGCCGCCGAGCTATTATCTCACTTCATGTTGCGGCGAAGGCGGAGAGCCGAGTACGAACGACGTGGTGTTCTAGACGTTTTCTAGCGTCGCGAGTAACCCGAGCTCGTGACCGCGCATGGTTTTTTCAACGCGCTTGCCGTCATCAAGCTTCGCTAACGTAGCAGCGCTCGCTGCTGGCAACCGGCAGCCAGGCTGTGATGCGCGTCGAATGTTATTACTGCTAGCAGGGCCGCTGTTGGCAACTTGTGTGCGTCTATTTTTGTTCGTCCTAACAAGGCATTTTAATCAATACTATACCTGTCGGTTTATTGATGCCTGGGCACACCATCTGAAGCCCGACCGCACCGCACTGCATAATGCAGCTATCGATTCTTATTAACGCATAATACCTTACCAGCGCAGTTTCGTCTGCACCGCCATTGACGTCATGTTTAGTGCGCCTGAACGTCATCAACGGCGCGACAGGCCCGGTATCATTAAGGAAGTATGCTGTTCGATGGTAAGCAGGCAAGCGAGGAAGAATAGCAAGCAGAATTTTATTGCCGCTAGCCTCGACTTAAAAGCTCATTGGTCTTTTGTATAAGACGTTATTATTCTATGACGTAAAAGGAAAGCTAGTGCTTTGCTATAAATGCAGTCTGTGTAGTGATTTATTAGCATGATATACGGCGCAGTTCGATGTTGTTGGGAGTTTTTGTCTAACTACCTTCCTAGCTGTCCAGGCAGGCAGAAAAACTCACGTCCGCAGACTCAAAATGGATCGCGGCTGCCGTGTAGCAAGACAATCTGCTAAACGAGGACTACGCGTGGCTCTGCTACATCACTCTCTTCATAATAGTTGACACTTAGACAGGCGATATCAAAAATTCTAGCCAGCTGAATTGGCCTGTCGTAAAGCGTATTCTGGCACGAGCAAAACTCAAGGATTACGCCTAATGTTCATGCTCGCTTCTGTGTCTACTCTACACTAAATCTTTAGCTGTCTTTGGTACAAATTTAACACTGACTGAATAGGCTTGCTAAACGTGTAATACGAAACCTGCAAACGAAACACCTCGCCCAGGCTGTATTATCGCTCCCACAAGTCGAATAGGCGGCCATGCTTGTTCGTTATAATGGATGCCGCTAAATATATCTACCCAAAGAGAAGCAGGCTCTATACCGACCTGGATAAACGCACTTCAAACAGATAATATATGGGAAGCTAAACCATATCGATAATTAGATTAAACCCGAGATCATTTCAATGTTATAAAAGGTATTCGGCGCATTATCAGACCCCGGGTTTAACGCTGCCTTGGAACCGTAATACGGTCAAATAGCATCACCGAGTAACGTTCCGATTAGCCGAATACCGAGGTCGTTTGATTACGTCCACGTTAAGGTAAGTAAAAATGAAAAAATATATTTCACTTTTTTGCGCACAAAATCATAAGTAACTTGCTGTTTCACTTTTTATGGGTTAGAATTGGAGTCGTATCATTCTGGTGCGGCACGAGGCGCTAGGACCTGCAAAGCACGTGGACGTGAACACAATGACCAGGGCATGGCCGCGACGTCGTCGACTTTATTGCTGTCGCTGCTGCGTGGTTTTTATTTTATTCTGAGCACACGTACCATCGCGCGGACGCTAATAGGCATACCAGGATTAGACATACCTATAATTGGACACACGTAGGCAACTTTCTCGAAGTGTGAAATAACGATACCGAACAAAAAGAAACAAAAAGAAAAAAAACAAGAGAGAAAAAAAAAAAGAACAGTGAAAATAAAAAGACAAACAATCTTCAATGTTTTTTGAGTTGCTTGCTGTACATGCTCGCTATTTGCCTGAGATATCGGAGCACACTTATCACCATGCTTACTTTGCCAACTAAGAATACTATTTTTCGAAAATATTAATTTAATGCAACAGTTTTCTCACATGCCTGCACAAACATATATCATTTAAAACGCACTATAATATTACAACCACTATATTTCGGAAAGTATCAGCGAAGTATTTTGATAACGACATAAAGGCGCGCTACGCCCGGCAATATACTTCACATCGTGTATTCGTAGTAAAGACGCGAAGCCATTCTTCGATGGATCCATGCCGCCGCGCACACCGTACGTACACGAACGCACACACAGCGCGCGCACAGCACGCGCCACCACGGCCAACAGGGTATACGCACATAAGCACACAAACAGACACACACACACCACCACGCGTGTGCGCGCGCCGTTTACTGACGGGTAAAATCGAACGTCTATTCTGAGTTGTTTGTTCGGTGTACAGAGTTGAACAATTATTTCCGTGCGCAATCGGAGCACAACTTTCGAACTGCTCGCCGCAGCTGTAGTCATCTCTTTTTGGCTTTGTGCAGGTAATGAAGCTTTTAGTCGGCCATGGGCATGTACGGGAAATGTCCACGGCTTGTAGGCATTTAGGGTGTGGCTCATCATGCCGATGGTTGTGTGAAAATCGCCGGTTGCAGTCCATAAAGAGGACATGGCTCATTTATTTCAGCCAAGAAAACGTAAAACGCCTTCGCACGCACACGCGATTGAGACAATGTTAGGCAGTCCTCCCCAATGGCGACTGAAGTATTAACAACTGGCTTCACCGACTGTAGATACAGGCTTCCCATTGTACAGGAAGGCACAACAGATCAGTTGCGTCCAGCATAAAGGCTGGGCGGGGCGTTTTCACGCTGAGGCTGACTATTATGCATTTAAGCGGTTTGGTCAATGTAAACTGGTCAGGATCTAGCCGGTTATATCAGCCTAAGTTGGTGCCAAAATAACAATGCCCACTTCCTAAATAAGCATAACGCTCGCTAAGCTGAAGAATTATGACGACAAATAGTGTTGATGGGGCTTGCCCTTGGCACCATTTCCCATAACGCTTCGTATGACGGCAGAGCTGCTGCGTGTTTGCGGTGCGTAGGGCGTGCATGCATGTAATTGATGCTAAGATCTATAGCAATAATGTAACCAAACGCCAGGATAGGGTTGGGTCCGCCTATCGCTGGGATTGGGGTTAGATTATTGTATGCTAGCTAATTTGCATGCGCGCTGCCAGTGCCTGTGAACTCGCCACTACTGTGTTTTTCATCTTCGTTTTTGTTTTTTTCGTGATGGTCAGGGGAGCTTCGCGGCGTGACATGATGTACGTGTGCGTTTATAAACATATGCTGGCAGGCAAGGCTTTGTGCCATATAGAAGTTGTTACAACCGCGTGCTAGACCGCCACGCGGCGCGTTTCGCCATTAATAATGGCTTCACCTCTTTCGGCCTATTGGCGCTGCGGTGTTTGCAGAACGGTCATTGTAAACACGAGCGAGAAGTTCGCCTATCATTACATTAGACAACCCGGCGACACGTATTTCAGCGTTAATGTCATTCGGCACAGTGTATGTTGACACGCCTGCGCATATTATTTCTTTTCCCGATCCTAGCATTGGAGAGAAGACAAAATAAAAAACGAGGTTACTGTGTCGTATCGTTTCAACACAGCATTACATTTCGTGAAGCATTTTTATGAAATTTCTGCTCAGCATAGGTTGGCGTTAGGATATGCGACAATTATAATTTCGATACCGCTCCCGCCCTGGTGGCGTTTAAGTCGGAAGGCCGAGAAAATACCTCGTGACAGTGATACACTTTCACATTTATGCCTGCCTTCATAATTTGTCTACGAAACGCTGTGTAGCAGTAAATCTTACGCTACTGTCAAGTATACTGACAGATATGTAGGGTTTGAAATCCGCACTGCCAGTTAATGAAAGGAGGTGGCGGCTGCTAGAGACCAGCGGACGTGATCTGGTGGGCGCGCCTTGCAAGTATAACATACGGCGTGAGCCCACTGATTACGGCTTACGGCAGTGGGTGGCGGGCCTGGTGGGCAAGACTCCATGATCACATTGGCACCACGCCAACCGCGTGTCGCGCTGAGATCACATTCCATCAATCACAGTAAAGTTTTCACACACTAAGAATCATGGCAAATGCTATATACGTGTTAACACCCGAGAGCAGCGGACACATGGTTCGCCGGCGTGCAAGGCTCGCGCCTGACTAGTGGCAACGGCGTTCATGGAAATGCTGTCGGTGATCTACGGATCATATGGAACGCATCAGCCACAAGGTCGGGAGGTAGCAGGTGGGCGCACAGCACCCGGTCAGCACTTACTCACTCACGTGAAAACTCGCGCGTCGCAAGCGCATGCACGGCCTCGACTATTTACTGATAGGCGAACAGATCTAACGCCGCTAATCATCCTCGCGCACGGAGGGCGACACCATCCTCCCAATATACCTAGCTCCGTGATCGCGCTGATTAAACATGCCAACAGAGTAATACATCTGTATATTGGCACTGTGAAATATACTCCGTGGCATGGTGTTTACCGCCCCCGGTGTGTTTACATGAGGGCCACGCAGGCATTCCCAGGCTGAGGCGAGCACCAGACCAACCACAGCACGAACGAGCACAAGGCGGTGATATGAGT